CCCTAAACCTAACCCTAAACCTAACCCTAAACCTAATCCTAACCCTTACCTTAATTTAAATCGGCTTTCTGCTGCCGCGCTGTTTTAAAGCGCCCTTCTGTTGCCGTGCTGTTGTTGCGGCGGTGATGACGCGCGGTGATGACGTCGCGGCTTTAGCGATGCAGTTTTATCACCGCTATTTTGACAAGCGCGGTTTTGTCGTGCCACGCTCCTCTGGCCCTCCAGAAGGCTGAAAATCATCTGGGAGCTGAAGGCTGCCATGCTGGCAAATATGGCTCTGTGTGCTACCTGTGGCATTCAGTAAATGCCTAACTTGACATGCTGGTTAGGGAATTCTGGGAGTTGAAGCCCACATATCTTAAAGCTGCCAAGGATGAAACACTGGCCTAAACTTTTATATGTTGTCTTTCTATATGCTAAGTCCTATGATGTCTTTTTACAGTGATCTGTTTTAAGCCAGATAATTGTCTGACTGCCGTTGTGGAAGAATTAGCTGACTTTGTGTCATCGCCAAGGGGTCGCCCAAGTTTAGGATTCCTGTACTCTTCAAGGAGGTTTCTTCCTTGTGCCCCTCTGAGCGCATATAGCAATAACAATAGCACTTAGACTTGCATACTGCTTCACGGTGCTTTTCAGCTTTCTCTAAGCGATTTACAGAGTCAGCATATTGCCCCCAACAGTCTGGGTCTTCATTTTACCTACCTCGGAAGGATGGAAGGCTGAGTCAACCTTGAGCCAGTCAGGATCGAACTGCTGGCAGTCGGCAGAATTAGCCTGCAATACGGCATTCTAACCACTGCACCACCACAGCTCTCATATCTGGGAAACCTCAGAGATTTTCAATATGCAACTCCATCATGTATTGACTATATGCAGTAAACAGTCTACCTTTGAATTTGCAAACAGAGTAAATAGTTTCATATTTGCTCATTGAAAATGCAATTTTGATATACTTTTTAATATGTTTTTCCATACGCTAAAGTAAAAATAAAATAAACTGGTCTAGAGGTTGTACAAGCAACACAACAGCACATATCCTCTCAGACCACAAGGAGAGCAAGCCCCCAAGATTCCCTCAGCGGGATGGCTGATGGAAGAACTGGAAGATGGTGGATGTGGAGGTATATTGCACTGGGTGACAACCCCTAGAAAAGGATAAGGGAGGCATGAATTGCCTAGTGTATCCTAGTGTATCCATTATGCAACTTTGACACTAAAAAAAAAGGTACTCAAGAAAAGTATTTCCCCATCCCTAAAATGAAGCTCTTTCCAGAGCAGAATTATACATGGTTCCAATTATGGGGCGGAGCGGGAGCCAGTTGCTGGCACTTGGAGAAGTCCATCTATTAGCTCCAGAGGTGGTATTCAGCTGGTTCGGACCGGTTATGGCGAACCGGTAGGGGAAATTTTGAGTANTGTGTGAATCTTTGGAGGAAAAAAATCTCCCTGCTCATTGCATTCCTATTGCTCCAGTTTTAGTGCTACTATCAAGCAAAAGCATTTGATATTGTCAGGCAACCACATTCTCTGTCCAGTTGTGCATTGTGCCGCAAGCATGGCATCATACAGACCTGCTTTCTGGTCAACATTACATAGGATTTTATGGGACGAATCTATTTGTCACAGAGCAAGTGAGAAGGGGAAAGCACTTCCAGAGAGCTTTTTCCTTGACTGCTGGAAATACTTAAATCCTGAACGATTTGCACAAGTGAAGGAAGACTGGCAATGTCTTATGACACAATCATTCACACTGTATTAAGCTCTGACTTTTTCGGTGTTTCTGTGGTGACAGTTATGCAAATCCACCAAGACAGGATTTAGAAATGATTTTCTGCATTGGAAGATTAGCAGAGAAACTGACACATTCCTCTAAATTCTTGTAGCTTCTCTATGTTGGAAACTTCAGCGCCAGGTGAGAAGGGGGAGCCTAAAGTGAGAAACAGATTAGCGCTACTAATTTTTATTTCATTATTCAAAAGTTTGCATCCTTCCAGGTCATCACAGGTTCTCAGCTATTCCGCACAGGAATTCTGAATTGGTGCTCAAACTGTTCCCACAGTCTAGCTAATGAGGTGTATGAAAAAAGGCCAAGGACCGAAAGAGAAATTCTGGAACTGAAAGTGCACAGTAGCAAATTTTCCCTCCAGAAACTCCCCCGGTGAAACAATTGACTTTTAGATGAGCTATCAGACAGAAATAGCAGGGAGTATGAGGGAAGAATGAGATACAAACCCTCTGTTATATATTTCAGTGGAGGCAAGAATAATGAACAAAGAACAACTCTAAGCTTTCTTTGAAAGCATCTCCTAGTCTAGAGAGGAGGACCTTGGTCCCAACACTCTTAACTTTCTGATGAGCACTTCTTCCCTCAAGGCAACTGATTGATCACCTGATCATAGTTATAGTTCTTGGTAATTATTAAAAAGCTGAAGACAGGGAGCCAGGCTGATTTGGAGGTCGGCAGGAATCAAGGCCTATTCAGAAATTGCAGAGTCTAATCCTGTGATGGCAAACCTANCACACACACACACACGCACACCCCACTGATGTTTGAGAGGGTGACCTATGCTGATCTGCAGTTTGCAGGAAGGCCCCTGGAGAAAATCCGTGGGGAAGGTAGGAGCCAGCCAGACGGGTTCTCCCAGTGCTCCCCCCCCATGCCTCCCCCCCCCTAACCCCTGCTTGTCTTCCAGAGCCGGATGAGGAGCAGCTCACCTATGAGAACCTCCAGGGATCCGGGGCCCAGGAGGAGCCCCCCAGAACTGGCCAGGAGGCTGAAGGTGAGTGCCGGTTCCTCAGTGCGCTTGGCCCCTTGGCCCTGGGGCTGCGCTGGGTGCTCAGCCCCGTTGAAGGGGTTTCCTTTCAGTGGTTGTGTGCTGTCTGTGGGGGGGGGGGGCACACAGCACAGCGAACCTGGCGGAGCCTTTTCTCTCCCTCCCCAGGAGAGGCAGGCAGAACAAGGGGCGCCTTCTCTACACAGGCCCCCCACCCGGGGACTTTTGTGGTGCCCAGTGCCTAACTTGGGGAGGGCTTCTAAGGGGGCATCCCAGCCCCCTGTTTTTTGCACTTTTCACCCCCAGCCTTGCTCCCTCCAAGCACCTCCTGCTCTTCTCCACAGGCCAGAGTCTTCCTCGGGAGACCCTCCTGAGGGTGGAGGGGCCTGCAGTGGCCCAGGGCATCCAACCTAGGAAACAGCAGCCTGCTGCCAGGACCCAAAGCGCCCTGATCCCGGGGCACAAGGGCAGCGCAGGTGGGCATGAAAGGGATGGGCGCCCCCCCCCCATTCATTCTCAGGATGTCCTGAGTGGTGTGTTTCTCTCCAGGGTGGAGTCCCCGGACCAGGTGGGCGGCCTTGGGAGTGCTGGCCATCGTCCTCTTTCTCCTCTCTATCATCATCAGCCTCGGGGTGCAATGTGAGTCCTGGAGACCCCAGCCTTGACCCTCCCCTTACAGCTCGGATTCCTTTCTCCCACCCCTTGCACTGGCATCTCCTGAACAGGCCAGCGTCCTCACCTGCCCAGTGATGGGTCCCCTCCCTCCCCCCTCCCTCCCCCCATGCTCTGGTTCCCCAACTGCCCCCTCTCTCTCCAGACGCACAGGCCTCCCGGCAGCTCCGGCAAGCGTCCCGAGACCACGCGGCAGAGCTCAACTCCACTCTGGTGGCCCTTTGGCGCATCTGGGCAGACAGGAACCGCACTCAGCAGCAACTGCAGCACCAGGAGCTCCTGGTGGGCCAAACCAACCGCAGCCTGGCTCTCCTGTGGAGGGAGAGGGCGAGCCTGACGGCCAACCTCAGCCGTGCCTCCTCTTGCCAGGAGATCGGTGCGTTCCTACCCCTCTTGGGAGCCTGCGGGGGCAAGGTGGGGGGTCTCTGCAGCCCCTTTCTGACTGCTTTAGGTGTACATGTGAGAGGAAACAACAGGAAGGCTGCTGAGGGAGGGGCCCTTCCTGCCAGCCACAGCTCGGCTCTCCTGCAGCCCATCTGGGGAAAACCCAGACCCGCTGGGGACAAGGGGAGGGCGGGCAGTGAGCCCTTTGCACAAGGTGGCAGGCAAATATTTCATCATGAGGGAAGGAAGCACTTCGGTGGGGGTGGCAGTGTTGCCAAGTGGGTGAGGCTGCATGCTGTGTGTGTGCGTGGGGGGGAGGGGGAGATGCGTTAGGTTTTTCTTTTTTCTTTGAAGAATCTCCAAAGTTGTATTTAGATGTATTTATGCATTTCTTGCCCGCCCCAAATTGGAAGGACCTCATTTATCTTGCAGTCCAATCCTTCCTGAGAAATAGCTGCCCAATTCGTCTGCAAAGACCTCCAGGGATGGAGCCCACCCCCACCCCCACCCCGGAAGAGCTCTGACCGTAGAGGGAAAGTCCTCCCTGTCCTGAGTTCCGCTCTTCCTCTGCCTGGTGTCCACCGGCCTTTCGGGCATCTCTGGCTCTCCTCCTCTCAGCCACTGGGCAGCCCCCCACCCCTCCGCCGGGAGCTCAGGAACTGGTTCTCATGACCTGCCAGCCCTTTGCCCTCTCGGGCCTCTCATCCTCTGCCCATAACAGTCCAGTCTTTTCTGAACTCGCATCCCAGTCCCAGCGTCTCTGACTGGGAGCGAGTCCCACTGTGCCAGGTTTCGTCCCTCAGCCAGAAGCGGCTCCTTTTCGGGACCTTCCCCCCACAAAAAAAACCCTCCCATTGAGCTTGCTGGCTGGGGATGTGCCAGGCTCAAGAGGGATTGTGTGAAAGCTGCCAACCCCAGAGGAGAGAGGCTGCTGCTGGTGGAGCCCCCTTTTCCTGGGGAGGGACGGAGAATGCCCAGCCTTTGGAAGCCCAAGCCGGGAGTCCCGCTTGGCTGGTTCCTGCTACACAACCGGCTTCCGCCATCCTGTTGAGGTTGGGGCAGAAAAAGGGGCCACTGCTCTGTGCCTGCAGCTGGTCATCTTGTGGGAATCGGCCTCTTTGGTCAGTTTGAGGTGTTTCACTTAACTCTGGGGCTGGAGAGGCATCTTGAGGGCCCTGGGGGCACAGAAGTCAGAGTGCAGCATTGCAGGCAAACTCAAGGCTCACAGCCTGGAGTTCGATCCTGTCGGGGCTCCAGGCTGACTCAGCCTTCCGTCCGTCCAAGGTGGGTCAAATGAGGACCCATATGGTTGGGGGCAACAGGCTGACTCTGTAACTGTTTAGAGAGGGCTGTAAAAGCACCGTGGAGTGGCATATGGGTCTAAGGGCTGTTGCTCTCGTTCTTGCAAGGAACGATGCCCTCCCTAAAGATGGCAAGCTCTTTGCCCTCCCCGGTACGGTCCCTTCCCTGGGAAGGAGAAGGTGCTCCTGCTGCTGCCTTGCTTCCCCAACCCCCCAGGGCTCACGGACCTGTTTCACGTCCCGCTTGGCTGGTGGTGCCAAGGGGGGCAGCTGGCCAAGGGGAGCCGCAGGAAAGAGGCCTCTGTGGCCTCATCCAGCAGGGCATGAGTGCCCACGGCTGGGGCTCCCCCATCTCTCACAGAAGGACCGGGAGGGCCACACCGATGACCGTCCTGTTCCCCCCAAGGTGGAAGGCGGGGAGGATGAGTCAGGGACGAAGAAAACAACCCAACAACTGAAATTCCGTCTCCAGGAATGGCAGCTGCTGGGCTTCTCTTCGGTTCCACCACAAATGCGCGAACAACAAAAGCACGCCTGACTAAACCGCGGTGACAAAACCGCGCTGACAAAACCGTGTGACGAATGAGCGACGAATGAGCCCTGAAGCCCACCGACAAAAGTGCACCGACAGAAGCGCGCTGTAACCTAACCCTAACCCTAACCCTAAACCTAACCCTAAACCTAACCCTAACCCTAAACCTAAA